GACGGGCGGCGCCGAGCCCGAGGGGGGCCCGGCCGGCGGCGGGATGGCCCTGGCCAGTCCCCGCTCCAGCCTGTGCGGGCCGGGGGCGGCCGCCGTGGTCAGCCCCCGCTCCAGCATCTCCAGCCAGAGCTCCCGCAGCTCCCGCGGCTCCATGAGCGCCTACCCCGAGCTGCAGCTGCCCTCGCCCCGCTCCTCCCTGCTGGGGCCCGGCCTGCAGGAGGACGGAGCCCTGCCCGAGGACGTCTACCACAAGATCCATGCCCAGTCCCCGCCGCGACACGACCAGCAGCACCCGGCCGCCGTCCCCCCTCCCGAGGCGGCCCCCCCTTACGCCTACAGCCCCACCAAAGGCTCCGCTTCGGCCCCCAAATTCAAGCTGCCCTACCAGGTGACGCCGTGCCGGGAGAGCGGCCCCAGCCAGGCGGAGAGGAGGCTGGAGGCGCTGACGCTGGAGCTGGAGAAGGAGCTGGAGATGCACATGAAGAAGGAGTACTTTGGTGAGTGGGGGGCCGGGGTGGGCAGGGGGCGAGCGGCTGGCGGTGCGTGAGGTTTGGCCGTGGAGCCAGGGAGTGTGTGATGCTCAGGGCTGCTCTGGACCGGATACCTGCTGAGGTCTCTTGTCACCTAACTGGTGCCAGGAGTGCTCCCAGCACAGCTCCTTCCTGGTGTTTGGTCCCTCTCCCGTCCGTTCCTCGGGTGGTTTGCAGGATGTGTGGTGCTTTCCCTTCCACGCGCGGGTGGGAGACTTCTCCCAGGTGTCCCAGAAGCTGTTTGTGTGGCTGGGGCTTGCAGGGACTCTGGTTTGCTTCCCTTCTTCTCGGGCTGCTGGAGCTTCACTGAGAACCTCCAGCGTCCCCAAGGCGGTGGCGTTTGCGATCGTGCTGTCGGGCTGACTGTGATGACTTTATTTATAGAGGATGAGCATGTTTTAGTGCTTGGCTTAATAAAATCTTTGTGCTCGTTCGGATGGGAGCCCAGCATTCCTCCTGTCTGGTCAGGCCTCGCAGGGTCTGCTCATGGCTGGGGCAGGAGGGAGTTTTGGGGGAGAGGAGACCCCTCAGTCCCTACTGAGGCTACATCAGCCTCTTGAACATCTCCTGAGTTTTTGTTGCTTCCTTATAGAACAAAAGTAACCACTTGAAATGAGCGAACACGTTTTGTAGTTGCACACGTTAGGATTAAGCTCCCCTGTCTTTCTTACTTTGTGCTGGGTGGAAAAGACCAAAATGCCTTTGAAAGATGATCCTGGAGCGTGCAAATCCTGCCCTGTTTCCCTGCGCTGGGGACTGCAGGTGAGGCGGGTGACTGGCCACATCTGGGCCACCCTGGGGAGCAGTTTGTCGCCTGCTCGGGTGCTTTCTCTGGCACAGGAGCTCCCGGCAGAGGAGGGAGGAAGATGAGGGTCTGTGAATGAGCTGGCCCCATCTGTGGCCTTTGAGGGGACAGTTATCTCTGTGCCTTTGTGAGCTGCTGGGGCGTGGGGAGAGGCTCCCTGGCAGGCTGTGACTTCTGGGGTTGGAGAGAGCATTGCTGAGGATGGAGACACACGTTACCTGGGTCGCCGATGTAAACATGAGGATTTAGACAGCTTTTGGCACAGCATTAGTGTGCTCTGTGTGGAGGGGAGGAGTTGCAGGGCTCCTTGTTAAGTGTCTGTGAGATGCTTGTGGTGAGACAGACCTGGGCTGATCGGCAGAGGAGGCTGAGCGAGCAGTGTCCTCTCCCACCAGCAAAACCCTTCTGTGAACTGCAGTGGCATAGTTTATTGGAGCTCCTGTGCCCAGACAAAGGAAGCTGAATGCAGTGCTTACTGCCTCCCTCCATCCCAGGTGGGGCTGATGAGAAAGCTGGTGGTCATCTCCCCGATCTTCTGTGGGGTGTGGTGCTCCTCGTCAGCTGAGTGGCTCCACCTGAGGACAATAACGGTTCCCTTCTGAGTATGTGCAGAAGCTGGGTGGGCTTGTTAACACCGACTGCAAGAAATGTGGCCTTCAAAATTTCCATGGTATACAGGGAGAGACTGATAAATAAGATTTATTTGGAGTAAGAAAGACGTTACAGCTGTCCTGAGCCTCTGAGAGGGTGTGAGAGACTGGATGTGAGAGCTGAGGGCTTTCCAGTGGCCAGGGAAGCTGGGTGTGTGATCAGGAGCTCCCTGGCAAATCTGTGTTGCAAGTGAGTTTTTCTTCTATGGATTTGCTTGTTCTGAGTGTCACTACCTGCAGGTATGTTGTGCAGTGACGTGTTGCAGCACGTCCTCACCCTCGGCGGATCCCTCCTGCGCAGGATCAGCAGTAAGGCTGCACCTTCCCGCCCCCAGAGCTTACCATCAGCTGCTCTGCAGGTATTTGCTGTAGCAGCACGAAGCAGTGCTGCTGCCACCCGCACCCTGGAAGCGGGTGAAACCCAGAAAAAAAGGGGTGCTTCTTGCTTTTTGGCTGAGCAAGAGCATGAGGGGGCTGGCAGGGATGGCCACAGGCTGGTGGGTCAGAGACAAGGAGAGCGAGAAGAGGATGGGGAGAAGTCTGCTGTTTGGTTCGACTTACCCGAGAGTCTTAAAACAGGGTTGATGGAGGGAAGGGGGGAGAAATGCCTTGATTTTTGTAGCAGCTGATTTTTGTAGTAGCTGATACTACTATGGCTCAAGTCTTTCCCCTCCCTCAGCGCTGGGCAGTCAGGGGGTGTTCTGTGCCACCCGTGGAGCACCACCAAGAAACACTGCTGGTTACATCCTGCTGAGAAGGATGGCTTGGTGGGGAGGTGAAGGGAAGAAATAGATCCCTAGACCTGTCCGGGCCCTTTCTGCCTTTTCCGTGCAGAGTCATCCCTGCAAATCCCTTTCTTTGCGTTGGGGAATCCTGCTGGCACTGCAGCGGTCGGGCCCTGTGGTGCGCTTGTGAGTTCTGTGTGTTCATGTTTCTTCTGGGTGTGATGTGACGTTTCTTTTCCATTGATGTGACAGAAGAGTGTGTATACAAGTGATACCAAAATTAAGACAGGTGGCAGCGGTAAGTCCCTGGAAGCTGCATTGCTCCAGGGTGAAATTTGAAAATCTGAATGAAATTTAGGTGAGCTTGCGGTTGGTGACCACAGCACTTGAGATATTTGCTAAGGTGTCTTTTTTGTCTTATTATTTCCTGAAGCTTTCTTTGGGAAATATTAGATCTTCCCTATTTCCATCAAAATAGAGGTAATGGTTGATGCATCATGCTGGTTTTGGAAATAAACAAAGGTTTATTGTCTGGGAATTACTTTGCACTTCTCTTTATCTGAACCTAGAAATCCATTCAGCTTTGCTAAGCAGCTGGGGTCCTGCAGCTTTTGCAGTGGAGGCTCTCCTGTGCAAAAATGATTTCTTTTCGACCAGGTTTGAGCAAATATACAAACAGAATAGGCAAAAAAAAACAAACAGGCAAACATACAAACAGAAATAGACTTGGACGGTGTGGTCTCCTGGAGTGTTTGAACAGCTCATGTTTTGTTTTGCTAATTTCCCAATTACAACTGGAAACTCTGTTGCTGAAATTGATTTGAGAGTGACCGGGCTCTTTTAGCTGAAATGCAAGAAAGCCCCCAAAACCGGGGTCTTAGACAAGGTCTGTGTTGCCTGGGGAAGGTGCGTGAGGAGCTGAGGTGGGAGATGCTGGGGACAAAGAGGATGAAAAAAATAAGTTGTGGTAACACAAGTCAACAGAGTTGGAAAAAAGAAGTCTCCTTTTCTGCCTGTGGTATGAAATGTCCTGTGAAGGACGTGGGAAAGGTCCTAGATAAAGTCTTACAGTCCCTGCTGGCCATGCACACGGTTGGGAGACTCCCTGAAGCTGGGAAGTGATGAACCACATCGTATCTAATAAGAGAAGGGAGAGAAGTGGAATATAAGTGTGTTTATTAAGTGCTAGATGCGTGTAGCAGGTGCAATTACCATTAAATGGAAATTTGGGCAGCTGTAACTTGCACAGAAACGTGTTATGAATGGGGACTGCTGCTCTCTTACCTTCAATTGCAGGAAACTTGACTGTGAATAGGTGTATTATTTGATGGCAAATGGGGTTTTTTTTTTGCTTTTTTTTGTTGTTTGTGCTTTTACTGTTGGGTTCTCTCCGTGTTGTTGTAAAAGCAGAGTGTGCAGAGGGGATGGTGCTGCCAAAGAACCGCCGTGTGTCTCATCATTGAAAGTTTCCCCTCTGGAGGATACAGAGTTGGCAAAGGCACATGTGCTGCTGTGGGACAGTGACTCCTGCTCTAACTGCTGCCCTTTCCTGCTGCCCTCTGGTTTGGGAAGCCATAAAGGTGTGGGTACCCCTGTGGATGCCATACCTGGTGGCTTTTGAGCCCTGGGGTGATGGAGCAATGTGCGAAGGGGGGGGGACATGAGATGAGCCACCTGGCTCTGGGGTAGAGGGGTCATTTACATGCAAAATGCTGCGAAAAAGGAAGTTTGTTTTCACCCGTTTCAAAGTTGGTATCCTTGTGGGAAGGGTACTGGTTTTCAGGGGCAGAGTGGAGCCCATGTTGCAGGAGGAAATGGGTTGATGGATTCTGGGGCTGCTGTGTTTGGCAGAGTGGAAACGTGGCCCCGGTGTGAGGGAACAGGTCACTGTCAAAGTAGCTGTAGTTACAATGTGATTAAGCCAATGCTACTTAGTGGAAAATTTCCCTGAAGTTGTATTGTTTTTGCATTTTAAATGTGCAAATGATCCAGCTTTGTGTGCTCCCGCTGACAGTGTGGTGGCAGCAGCAAAGATGCCCGTCTGGGCTGAAATCCTTAATATTCATGGTTAGTAAATTAGGTTATAAATGTCTCTGTTACAGCTGTATGGATATTATAGGTGGGGTATCAGAGTCCTGACCGGTTCTGCTGCAGACCTAATTGTGTCCAAAATAATTTCCTACTCGGTGGCTGCAGAATCTGGGTGTTTCTTGGAGTATAAGGCGATGTTTGGGGTTTCTGCCCATCCAGGGTGATATTCCTCCTCTCTGACAGGGCTGGGAATGTACGATATAAAGCCAAACTGGAGCAACAAAGGGGAAGAAGCGCAGGAATGTGCACGGTGTAAGTTTTATTAGGAGCTTAGAGAGGCTTGTTGTGTGGAGGGGCTGCCTTCAGCTGCCTGAAGGGTTCAAGCCCTGGCAGGAGGGAGGTACCTGGAGCTGTGATGTGGCATCGCTTGGACGGCTCCCGAGGCTGGCAGCAGGATTCCTCTTGGCTTCTCTTGGGCTCCTCTTAGCAAAATTAGCAGATGTGCTAATGATCGGCCAATAAATGTCAGGATGTCAGGATTTGGCTGGATTTTTGTGTGATTTTTTTTTTTTTTTGCTGTGCCTGAATATGGATGCTGTGTCTGGAAGTGGATTTTGTCCCTCTTTCCTGGACGTTGGAGCAGATATTTCTGTTGTGTGGTGTGTGTTACCTGTTAACCTCGCTGTGTTGTGTCAGCTCCCTATCGCCTGGTTTGTTGCTCTGCCGTGAGACAGAGGAGCACGAGAAAACAGCCAA